CTTCTGGTTAATCTCTCAAGGTCAGGCAGGCATGCTGTAATTTTTTTAACCCAGACCCACACCAGATTTCTCTCACTTCCAGAGGTTTCTAGAACACTCCCAGTTTTCTCCTTCCACATAAGCCTTGTCTTATTTTTGACCATGGTTTGCTTTGCATGAAAGCCTTAAGTTGCAAATAAATATGTCACATGTCAAAGACAGGCCAGGAATGTAACTTTAAAAGCATATGTTTTCATGGTTTTAAGACTGAGTTTGTTTGCTGGCATTAGAATTTTTTTTTTTTCACATTTTATTTGTAGCCAATGTCTGAGTCACTTTAGCAGTAACGGCCTTTGGCTTTACACTGTAATGAAGTGCAATATCTGTAACAGATGATGTGAACCATAGTTCCCTCTACATTAATGCCATCTACTCACTTAAATATTCTTGCAATTTTTTCCACAGAATATTTTAAACAATTTCTATTCATTTTAAGTCTAGTTTTAAAAAGGAAGTCTGGAAAATAAATTGCTTTTTGAACTAAAAATAAATGTTATGATCAGTCTGCTACTAAATAGGTAGCATAATACTTGACTTTGATATGCAGACATTCAAACTCAACCCACCAGCAATTTATGTTTTAAGAATAAAACCATCACATTGTATCCAAAGAGTTTGATGGTTTGGTTTTCAATGGACTACATTCATTCATTCATGTGTAATGCACATTCCTTAAACTGAAATTTTCTTTTTATTGATGTACTGGAATGATATATAATGTATTACATTATTACTACAGTTATGTACTACAATTATTACATGTACTGAAACTCTGGACACTTATTTCTGTACAGTAGTATTTGTGAAGAATGCTTACGTATTTAAAACAAGAAGATTAATATGAATATAGACCAAAAGAGCTTACTTGGAAGAAAGGGAGGTTTTAAATAATGCACCTGATATTTATAATGAATTAATTTATAATAATTATATAATGTAATTTTTATTTAATTATATAATTCAGATTTTCAATTAATCAGCCTTTGTTGATCCACTGTTGAATAAATGTCTTTCATTCTTACTGATTTGATCTTGCCATCTTAAAGAACTTTTTCCTGGTGGGTTTTGATCTCCTGAGTTCCAGTTAAGTAATGTATTGTCTTAGTGCAAGGGTGATCTGTTCTGCTTACTGTATAAGGTCTTCTGATAATAATGTCCCTTGTTCTTGTTGTCACTTTAACCTATTAAATTATTCTAACTCTTAGTAGCCTGCAGTTTCTGCATTGTTTTTTGAATCAATGTCCAGATTTCATATTTATAAGTTTGCACAGGTATCTCACATATGTCAAAGATTTCCCTCTCATGTCACAACAAGATTTTAGATAGATACTTTGTTGTCCACTGCTGTGGAAATTTGTCTTTGGCTTCTCCCACAGTAGTAAAAAAACACTCAAGCAAAACATCTCCATCTGAATCATAGTTTTCAACACCACTCCAACCCGTTATTGCTGTGCTTTTTCTTTAACACTTTAGCTTTTCTGTTACTGATATCTTATAGTTCAGATACTCTTCAGTTTTGGCCTCTTCTAACTCGATGCATTTAGTTTACTTTTTCTAGAGAAGTGCATGTAAATGTTTTGTAAACCATCATTTTAGTTTGTGTAAGGTTAATTTCTTGTTCTGCTCTGAAAATGTGAATGCAAGTAAATTGTCTTTCTACCTGCAGACAATCCATGGTATTCAATCCGCTTTGTAATTCTAGTTAATTCCAAATTATTTTGTTGCTTTTTTTTTCTTCTGTAGTTTTGCAACCTTATCATATCCCTTTATTTTAACAAATTAAATTAAATTTGAGGGTGTAATAAGAGTACTGGGATATGAGACTGAACAGCATTTTCTATTTGGTCTGTTTGTTTACTATAGGAATAAAATTTGGGAATTGCTCTGGCCAGGTAAAGTGATGAAAGTCTGTGTTAAATTCCTCAAATGAGTCATACAGTACATTGTCTGCCTAGTGCCTAGTTATTTCACAAGAGATTCCTACTATTTTAGCCAGTCAATGAAATCCTTAGATTACCAGGTAGCTCAGTTGGTAGAACAGTGGCCACAATTAAAAAAAAAAAGATAGGTGAATATAACTACTAACTTGCTTTGTTGCAGAAATCATAATGTAGATAATTAAAAGTCTGACACTAAAAGATTAAAATATGTCATATTAAAACAGTTCTGTTCTGGGATTATAAAGAAAAATATACATTAAAAATTAACAATGCTCTGGTAAATTTGTATTTAAGGATTGCAAATCCAGATTTCCCATTTAAAAACAAAGTAATCTACAAACTTTAAAAAAAAAAGTTAATACTGTAAATGCAAAGATATTGACCATATCCAATATCCTAGCATGTCCATTGTGCTTCTTACAAATAGAGTTAAAAACAGTTATCTGCTGTATATTGTAAAATTATTGAATGCGTAAAAGTATTTTCCAAAGAAACTGATACTGTAGTAGGAAGCAGGTGTCTGCTTTAATGGCATAGTCAGGTTAAAGGTGGATCTGAGGACAAGAGGTAGATTTAGGGCCAGTGGATGCACTTTCATGTGATATAATTGTTTGCTATGAATGTAGGCTGTCATTAAGGTTTGAGGCTTTTTAAATACTTCAGTTTGGAAAACCCATTGCATTTTTCAATATAGGGAGATGTACTCTAATTCATTTGTGATTGTTCTGATAAGAGTGATATGTAAGTGCTTTATCACCATTCAAATTAAAATCTGTCATATTTGGCAAGATACTGTCAACACATTGAAAATAAAGTGGAATAAAAAGCAAAATCAATATTCCTTTCACCATCTTAGGCATTATGGTTGACAATGCAAAGATATTACCTGTTTCTGAATCTTTTATATGGTATAAATAATGGAACTACAGTGCTACTGAGCAGCTGCACCTTGAAACTGTAGCAGGTGAAATGCAATAGTTTATGTGTAAACCAATGTGTTTCACCTCTACCCACCTGGAGTGTACATTCTGAGTGACAGGTATAGTATAGAACAAGCTCTCTTCATCTTCCACTGCCCCTGATCTTGCTCCCTTTTAGCTATGAATTTTTCACCATGCTCTTTGAAATGAATATCTCGGGGGAGGATTGGTAATATAAACTAAAACACAAGGCGTAATTATTTCTCATAAACTCACTTCTCCTAATTAGTTTTGTTTGAAAAAAGTGCTGCATTATTTACACATCAAGAGGACAAGAGAGTAAGATAAATATTCATTGTATATTGACTTTGGATGCTCTCTCTGCACTTCTAGCTGTTCTGAGATTATTTCTGCATTATACATGGATTTTGGTTTGTAGTAGTCCAATGCAAATCTGATACATCTTCTTCCATAATTATGCTCATTAAAGATAGCCACATCCCATCTGAAATAAAGACTGGAAGAATCTGCATTAAGTCTATCATGAAAATGATTAAATTTGTGCATAACTGTTCACAATATGGGTGACCTTTTTTTCAATTTTAGTTTTAACTACTCCATGAAAATATTTTTTTCAAAAATATTAAGGAAAATAAATTAAAGTATGCTGTAGGATTCTAGATGAAACTTCTGTTTAGGCTTTCAAAATAGCTCTCATAGACGTGCTTGACACATTTGTTAGAGAAAAAAGCATTTTTTCAATATTTTTCATTTTCCAGAGCTGACTGCATAAGTTGAGACCATGTACTGTATGTTGTAAGTCAATTGTATTTTAGTCACTCAAGTAACATTTTGCACTCTGTTTTAGATCAATAATCTACAACAGATTTAGATTAATAATCCACAACAGATCAACTACAATAATTATAGTTTTAAATATTCTGATGTTTTTATACCAGCAGAAATAACATTTTAAATGAGAAATGAGGGTATCTGATCTGCATATAAAACATTTTAACACTTGAAAACATATTACAATATAATTAAATAATAAAATAAATGAAAGCAGAGTTATTATACTATTTTAATAACTTGATAAGAATGATACTGTCCCTTAATTAATTAAGATGACCTAAAGTACAGACTAGACTTAAAAGTTTGTCCTTTCGGGCACTTAAATAAAAAAAAAGATTATCTCCTTGGTGGTCCTACCAATCTGAAAGTCTATTGTCTATTTAATAAGTACTTAGGAAACCTACTGTTTGTTTGAACATTGTCATTGTGCACTTAAGGCAGCTGTTTTTTTCCTATAAAAAATGTCATTTACTGCCCAGACAAACTGGAAAGTACAAGAAACAGCACTAATGTTTCAACATAGTATCTTTAAAGGTTGGAATTACTGTAATCAGTGACAGCAATGATAGGCAACATTGTGCATAGACCTTTCAAACACAGCGTCTTTTATTTATAAAGCCCATAAACAATAAATGCAGAAAAATGTTTGTTTATGTTTTGAAACTAGAGTTCCCTAGTGCTTTAAAAATGTTTATTTACTTCAAGAGACATTAAGGGATAAAATTAAAAATTCAATAACCTCATCACCAAATGCTGTGATTTTGGGTCAGTCACTAATGCATAAACATATTGTAAGGACTTTTACACCGTTTCATCTTTTTGACTGACAGCATTTAATGTTTGAATGATGTAACTTAAGCCTTTGGCAGTCCGACATCACATTTGGGAATAGTTCTGATGGTAGATCAGTGGATGTAATCCAATGTAAACTAAACTTTGATCACTGGAAATCATTTAACATCAACTGCTCCAATAAATTGTATTTATGCTTTGGAGTCCAACATATATAAATACATTATTCAGTTTTGTTGTTGGAAAAATGAAATGTTGTTTAAAAAAGTAAGCCTTACTTTTGTAAAATTTCCATCACCCACATGTTTATAATCAAATGATATACTAGATATTAGTAACAGCTAAATGCTTTGTGATAGTGAGAAGTGTAAGAAGGATGTTTTAAAAGTTCTTAAGCACTACACCAGGCATTTTTTCTTAACAGCTCTTGTGATTTCTTTCCCTCTGTTCCCAGGTGGAAATAACACTTCAGGATGTCAATGACAACCCACCTGTGTTTCCAACTGATATGCTTGATGTAACAATTGAGGAGAATATTGGAGATGGATATAAGATAATGCAGTTAACAGCTACAGATGCCGATGAGGTATACATTTCTCTTTAAATCTAATGCTACCTCTCTCAGGTCTTCTTTAATGGTTTACCAAGACCATTTTCCTTGTTGTATCTCTTAGTAAAGTTTTGAAGAAGCATGTGTACAGTAATATAATAAAGACTTGATTTAAAGTGTCATTAATGCAAGCATTAGTATTTGTGTAGATCAGTTAAGATGTTTAGATTCAAAGGTTAATGGCCCAGACCAAATATGCTCTAAGTGTATATCCTTTGTCTATCCACCTAAGGTGAATGTTTATTATTTTGATGTTTTTATAACATGCAATTCTTGTTTTCTTTCTGTCCCCTTTATGGAATCTGTAATGTTTCATTCCATAGTATTTCAACCATGGTACTTTAATTGAGGCCTGCAACTACAGTTTTGTATTAGTCAGTTTCTTGTACAGTATCCTGTAGTTTCACTACTCTCACTACTCTCTTTATTACTAGTCCTGTGCTACTTAAAACAGGTACAGTTAATATGTCTAATGGTATTACCAGTCAGGGTCTGTGTAATTAGTACTTTAAATAAAAATAAAAAATTTAAAAAATAATCTTCTACAGAAAAAAATAAATAAGGTCTTACCCAGCAAATGTATTTTGCAATTTTAAGACACAAACGATTGTTTTTGAAAAACGTAATTGCTACAACTAAGCAAATAATATCCAAATTCTTCCAGTCTGTTGTTACCCGAGATGTCTGGAGGCCACAGTGCAAGAAGATCAAGATGAATAAGCAACAATCGAGTCTTCACATTGTGTATATAGTCCCCTCGCGTCCATTGTAGTTCACATTACCTCATTGACTTCATTGTAGATTAGAAAAAGACTCCATCTTCCAATTCAGCAGGATGAGGACATAAAATCTACAACAGAGGGAAAATTTTGAAGCCCAAATGTCTCACAGGCGTATAGTTATTAATCGAGCCAACAATATGTGAAGGCTTTCACAAGAACTAAAAAATGAAGGCCACTGCAGTAAAAGATTAGCAAAGAAACTGCATGAGAGTATGTGCATAAATTATTTACAGTCATTTAAACGGAGACAGATTTTATTACTAACCCATTACCTCACCACTTGCTGAAATTATAATGTAAGAAAATGCAGTGTTGTTTAATGCATTAAAGTGAATTCACCAGTGAATGGTAAGATACAGTTTACAGATTACTTAGACCAACTAAATCATATGACGTTCTGTTATTTTTAATCTGCATAAATAAAACTAAGTTTGCAGAAGTAGTGGGTAAGGTGTCACAGGGGGTTCTTACTGTAAGTTTCTCAACTCTGTTTGATGAGACCATAGCTGAAAATGATTTTCTTTCATTAATTGAAAACCACCATAGACTTTGGATATTTCCTTGGTTCTGAAACAAAATGGTAGCCATCAATGAGAATGGAGACTAAGTTAAATATAGTACCTTTAAATAGCCACTTGTGTTCTTTATTGCAGTGTAGCATAATGTACCATTAAAAACCTTTGTGAATTGGAGTTAATAATCTTATTATTAGTTATTATTAGCTGTTCTTTAAGTGCAACATTTATCGCAATAATAAGAAAGAGATTTATCACACATTCATCATACATTGTTTTCAGATCCCTAGATCAATAGATTATCCTGCATTGTCACATTGTCACTGTTACATATTCCAATAAAAATAAATATGGCTTTTGTCACATTTAGAAGTAGTGTATTATATATTTTTAAAGCATAAATAGCTTCAGGACAAACTCCATTAACCAAATTAATGACATCTCTTTCTAGAGTTGTTTGTCTGACTCTAACATATAATCTGTAGGTATTTCTATTTAACAGGAAGTGAAAATGATCAGTGTCTGAGTAAAAGTCGGGGAATTAGTCTATTTCAAAGCTGATCAGCAAAAGATTTCTTTGAACTTTACCAAATGCATTAATAGGCAGACAGTGTATATTTCCTATGGGAGGGTGTCTGCAATATTCAAAGAAATGCCTTTAATTTCCCCTGGGCTTTTGCAATCACCATCCTGGTGACTGATGCAGTAACCAGACAGATTGAATGAAGAGAGCAGAAATGTCTACACTGAATAGCACAATACATAATTTTACTAAGATGTTAAATGCACCACAATACCCTATTAAAACGTCTCATTCTTCTTCATTGTGCACTGTTTCTTTTGAAAAGACTCCAAAAATGTCTTTATGGAACATTTTTAATTATTAATAAGATAAAGAAGATGATCTGTGTTAAACTTTTTTTTGCAACACAAAACACTTGTTTGTATAGCTGGTCTTTATTAGACATTAGACATGAAATGAAAATAAGGAATATCCAAACAGGCAGCACAATAACCCCACAATAAATCCAAGATCCTTTAGTCCTTTGCAATTCCTGACGTACTTATGTTATAGTTATCTCTCCATTTTCTAACCACTTTATCCAATACAGGGTCATAGGGAGAGTCAGAACCTATCCCAGCCAGTGGATTCCAATCCATCACAGGGCAGACACAAACACAATCACACCAGGGCCAGTTTTTCCAGACGCCAATTAACCTTCCAGAACAGTATGTGTGTGGAAACCAGAACACCCAGAGGAAATCCATGCAAACACAGGACGAAATCCATACAGATAGAACCCCAGGTCTATAATTGAACCCAGGGCCCCAGCACAGTGAGGCAGCAACGCTAACCACTGCGCCACTATGGCACCCTCACATTTGTTATGATAAGAATAATTATGATTAATAAAACTAATATGATTATTAGTTGCTTCTTTTGCAGAATAAAAGTATATAGAAAACATTAAGCATTTCATTTTGTTTCCAGGGACCAAATGCACTTGTGACGTACACAATAATAAGTGGAGCAGATGACAGTTTCCGCATTGACCCTGAATCAGGAGACTTGATTGCCACCAAACGTTTGGACAGAGAAAGGCGGTCAAAATATTCACTGCTGGTTCGTGCAGATGATGGCAAGCAATCTTCAGACATGAGAGTAAATATCACAGTCAGTGATGTAAATGACCATACTCCTAAATTCTCCAGGAATGTTTACTCCTTTGACATAGCAGAGGACACAACACCAGGTAATATCAAAATAACTTTATTATACAGCTTACTTATATGTATTTTTTTTCAATACAATAATAATAATGAAAATTCTGCATGAAAAGCACTTAAATCTCAATTTCATCTTTCATGCATTAATGGAGGTTAGTGGTATCATGATATACTACTGTATATGTAACCAGAGTGCGTTCCCCAGACAGACCTCTATTTTATGGATTGTACCTTTCAATTCTTGATCTACAGTACATTCTCAGAAGTGCTTTAAGGTAATAATTTGTCCAAAGATTTGGGACTTCCCTCATATGGTTTTTGTAAAGGAGTCACTGATATACTGTACATTTCTGATACAAATAAACACATCTTTGTGAGAAAATGTATCTGACTTTGCCCATCAGGTTCAATAGTGGCAGCTATCCTTGCTAGTGATGCTGATTCTGGCATAAATGGTGAGATCACATACTCCTTGGAGGAGGAAGATGAAGATGGAGTGTTCCTCTTGAACCCTGTGACTGGCGTCTTCAATGTGACAAGGCCTTTGGATTATGAAGCCCAGCAGTATTATGTCCTCAATGTTCGTGCAGAGGACGGGGGAGGCCAGTTCAGCTCTGTGCGAGTCTACTTCAACATTCTTGACATCAATGACAACCCCCCCATGTTCAACTCCACATCCTACAGCACGTCTGTCATGGAAGACCTGCCTCCTGGCTCCAGCATCATCACGATCAAAGCCAGTGACGCTGATGATGGTATGCTCTTAATAGCTGAAACTTAGAGACAGATATGCAAGTAGAACAATTTTTCTTAACTTTTCAACTTGTCTTTTTTATATCCTATAGAGTGGTACAGTAGATTCATTAATCATTATGTATTGTTGTTGCTTTCCGAGCAATGTAGATGAGCACCTGATTCTGATGGGATTCTGATTTCACCCTAAGATAATTTTTTAACCATTACTTATGGCTATTGTGATATACAAATCCTACAGATTCAGTTATACGTAGCAAAGATAATATACTCTACCTCCATTCATGATGCAGTGACTGCTTCTGGGTTTATTTAATTTTATTTAATTTCTAATAATTGAGTTGAAAAATAATAATTGCGTCTCATTATAGTGTAATTGTGTTTACATCTATTAATGGGACGAACTGATGTGGCATTTCAAAGTTCTGTGCGAGCTTTATTTAAGACAGACTGAATTCAAGCACACAAAACTGCTAAAACATCTGTATTACTTCAAATACTAAACCACATGAAAACCAGATTATAACATCTGTGAACCTTAAAACTGTAAGATAAAAGTGAACACACATTGCATAAGTTTATTACTTTTTAAATGAATATACCGTCTCCCTGAATTACACTTCATATTCTTTGTTGTTTTGACAGTCCTTATCAGAAAGTTGTTTCTTCAGTAATTATTAAATATGTAGGGAAACAGTATTTTTATTAGTCTGTGATGTGCAGTGTGATTTCATGCAAAACTGAATGAAGCCCAACAAAACAGTTGGCTTCCAGTACATAGCCAATGTTCTATGATACAGGATTATTTTTGTCCTTAACATCAAGAATGAAAAAATAAATCTTATGTCAATGTACAATAAAATGAATAGAGGTTTCATTTTGATTTAAATAATCTGTTGAATAGAACAATTGTCTTTTTCTTCATGATTGTAAAGGATGGAAAGGAAACCCACCTCTTTATATGTTTTTCATATTATAGAATTACTTTGAAAACCAGCTAGTCAAATTATACTGACCAATGTTGGAAAATCTGCATGCCCTGCTAAAATTAGTAAAATGCAGTAACAGTCCTGCCTTGACTTCTGTTTGATAAGCAAAATAATTCCATACAACAATTTGAATGAACTTCAACATCATTTTGTTACTTAATTTTTTTACTTCTCCTCAAGAGAAGCTTGTGGATTTAGATAAATAATGCCCACATTTATTGCTGTGTATCATATCATTGTAGGGAGCAAGGCCTTTCTTCTTGTATCTCCTCCCCACTTGTGTCTGCACATACTGTACTACCGTTTTTAGTATGTCCAAGACCAAAAAATAGTGATTGTTTTCAACCACAAAACACTATTGTTATAGCTTCCTGAACCTTAACCTTACCAAGCAGGGCAGTAGTTCCTATTGTAAATATTGTGTGATAATGGAATGCTAATATTATAAGTAGCCTTTGATAAGAAATTGTTTGTGTGTGGGAAAAAAAAAATCCATTGGAGGAAGTTCCTAGCTCAGTTCTTCAAGGACTCCCAATGTGCACTACAGAACTAAAATTTAGTTAAGTAACATATATAAGAGATTTCTTTAGTTACTTCTTAATATCACAATAATCAAGCTGTAAAAATATCAATAAACAGAATGTGAATTATGTTGTGTATACTATATGTATCATATGCAATACTATTTCATTTATAAAGAATGGTGAAAAGTATCATTTGATCTAAATGTTTTCCACATCTGAATTTGTTCATATCATATTCTCCAAAACTATTCCCTTAAATGTTTTTGAAGTTTTAGACCATATTCCCATAATTTCCATATCAATTAACTTTTTTTATTTATTTCACTTGTTTGGCATTTAAGGAATAAGAAAAAACCCAACTGAAAGCTGTTGGGTTTTAATATGTCAACATTAATTTGCATGATCTATACCATATGCACAATTTGTATGCAATCGTCTATGGAAACTGAGAAGTTGTTACATTTTAAATTGAAAATCCAGAAGAGCTATTCCTTGCGTCAGACGCCAGCAGTACATGTCCCCTGCGTAAAAAGAAACCATGTCCAAACTTACTTTGAGATTTACTTACTTTGTTCAAAAACAATTTATATATGTTCACGATACTGTAGACATTCAACAATAACAATGTAAACAAGCTAAATAAAGCTCAACAAACCATACAATTGAGCCCTAATAATCCATGAACTAAAATGGTTATTTTACTCTCACAGATTAACTAAATTCCAAAAGCATATACTGTTTAGAGGAGCATTTTCTTATAATTTATTTGTTTGTTTTTTTGCAAATTTATCTGTAGCTCCTTAGATAATTATTTTAGTGGCAATAAACTATGGTGCTTCATCAAAATAGTGTCCAATGACATAAAGAAGGAATTATCAGGAAGTGTATGAGGAACGCAATTAATTGGATTTAATTCAATTCAATTCAACTTTATTGTCATTAAACTTACACAGGTGCATAGTCTAATGAAAAGTGTTTCTCTTAGTCACTCAGGTGCAGTATATAAACAGGACAGAAGATAAGACAATAGACAGTTACACAATAGCAATAACAGTAACATGTAATAACATAACATAAATAACATGTAATCAAGTAATCAAAACTGTGCAAAATTCCGCAAACAGAGAAAATATAACAGGACAAAAACAGTGCAAGGTAATTCTTGGAACAGTGCAAAAAATAGTATTGTTAAAAGTAGTATGGTTAATTAATAAATATTAAATATTATTATGCCTGTTACAGTTTTACTGGGCTATTGAGGGGACAGTACAATTTTGGCTTACATGTGTGTGTGGTGGTGTAGGAGTACAGTCGTTGTGGGTACAGGAGGATGTTAGGAGAGATTATAATAAGGTGGAACGGAGTGGGGGCGTCACCAACTTGACAGCTCTGGAGAAGAAGCTATTTTGGAGTCTAGTTGTGTGCGACTGGAGTGACCGGAACCTTCTGCCAGATGGTAGGGGAATAAACAAGTTATGACTGGGGTTAGTGGGGTCAGACATAATTTTGGTGGCTTTTTTCAATTAAAACTGGCATTAAGATGTGTGCTGTAGGTATACAGTATTTTCCTAAAAAAAAATTTTTTTTAGCAGAATCTCTAGAATATTTTTTCTTCTGAAAAATTATTTTAGGCTTTGGTTTCTGTCCTGACATGGTCCACATCAAAGCTTCTTGTCTATATCATTTTTATTTTTTTGATTTTTCTGTGAGTATGAAGTTCATTAATAATGATGTATAATATATTTCTTTGTTTTGTTGTTTCTAGGTCCTAATGCTCAAGTGATCTACAGTATTGCTTCAGGTGATCCACTGGAACAGTTCACCATAAACAGTGATGGGGTTTTGAAAACCAGGCAACCCCTGGATAGGGAGACTCAGTCCTTTTATAACCTTGTAGTCAGCGTTCATGACCTGGCACTTCTTCCAGTGTCAAGATTCACCAGCACAGCCCAGGTCTCCATCATATTGTTGGATGTGAATGATTGCCCACCAAGCTTTACTTCACAGAAAATGACCTATATTCAAGAGAACACCCCTGTGGACACAGTTGTGTTTACAGTCCAGGCCATTGACTCTGACAGTGGACCAAACAGCTACGTTGAGTTCTCACTTCTCAATACTTTAGGTAACAAGTTCAACATCGGGAACATTGATGGAAAAGTTAGACTTACAGGGGAGCTTGATAGAGAGGAACTGTCTAACTATACATTGACCATAGTAGCCACCGACAAAGGAGAGCCACCACTCTCTTCTTCAATGGATGTCACAGTTATTGTCCTGGACGTCAATGACAACACACCCAGTTTTTCTCAGAATATCTATGACCTGGAAATTGCTGAGAACACACTGACTGGAACAGACCTGATCCAGGTGTTTGCAAATGATGCAGACAAGGGAACTAATGGACAGATTCGATTCTCAATTGTGGGGGGCAATGGGAACTCTGATTTCAGGATTGACTCTGTCACTGGTGTAATTTCAGTTGCTAGGCAGTTGGACCGGGAGGTTGTATCCTCATATTCTTTGGTGGTCCAAGCATCAGATCGTGGAAGCAGCCCAAGGACTGATAAAGCCATGGTTAATATAGAATTACTAGATGTAAATGATTGCATACCTTTCTTTGAACTCTCCCCTTACACCGTAAGTGTTCAGGAGAACATGAAGAATCTACCACATACTGTTTTACAGGTTAGTACATTTTTGCCTCAGTTAATTCACTATTTCCTATTTGTTTACAATGCTTCTGCAATACATAGTTAATTCTGAATTTGATTAAAAAGTCACATCAATAAACTTCTAGATTTTTAAGACAACATTCCCAGTGAAAATGGTAATTTAGGGAAATCAAATTCCTGTAACTAAAAATAAATCTTCTGTATGTTGCTTATTAATATTCTCTGTGCAATATAATGTATAGGTTTAAAATATGTGTTATCTATATAGTATAGCTGCCACCAGCAACTAAGAACTTTGACATACAGTACAACTATATTGTTTATATTAAACTAGCCACTCTATTAAATCAAGTGAATAATCTAAGAAGTACAGTCCACCAGATGCTGAAGGCAAAATAAAAGTGAGTGTCTGGTCTCTATATACAGAAACAGATTACTGATTAATTGTAGTATTGTGATAATTACATTTGGTGAAGTAATGAACACAAGGGGAAATTGCTGCTTATAAAAAGAAACAAATGAAGTTAACATTGTGTGTTAACTAACTTGCTTGTGAGTCTGAACCATCTACCAGCAAAAGTTAGGAAGTCCCATAGAAGTAATTTCTTATTAGACAGCAGAGAATTAACAATCCAGACCTATAAAAGCCCTTAGTAAGTTATGAAACTACCTGTCTCTTAAGACAAAGGTAAAATAAATGGTCTTTCCTTACCTTTACCTAATGAAAATAAGCAGCAGCTGCTGGCCTGGGAGCTGGGCCAGCGTCCATGCTTTTACACCACACAAGAGCCCTTCCAAGCTCTAACATGGCAGCTATCCTATGTGTCTTGGTAGCAGGAGTCTAAGAGCTCATGTTGCTTGTGAAGTTAGTAATGAGGTCTGTGGTGCAAAGATTTATGTTCCCAATACAGCCAAGGGGAAGGAAAGAAAAGAAAAAGAACACAAGCAACAATATTTGCTTTGTTAAGACATTTCTTTTCATGTGTTTATTTATAATGTCTCAAGGTTGTCGCCCGAGATGACGACCAGGGATTGAACAGCCAACTGATATATACACTTACAGGTGGGAATGAAGAACGTGCCTTTAGCTTGTCTCCAAGTGGGCAACTGAGCCTTATACAGAGCCTCGACCGAGAAGCAAAGGAAAAATATTCATTGATAATTACAGCCACGGATTCAGGTATGGTCGGTTTTTTAATTACATTGTAAACTATTCTTAAAGCTGATTTTTAACCTTCAGTTGTTTTATATCGGTTGATTATTTTTCTTGTAGAGAAATAGAATGTAATCACACCTATGTTTCTAAATGTATTCCTGAGGAAAACTGCATTAAGTTGGCAACTGCGTTTTCCCCTAAGCAGCAATACAAAATCAAGTTCAAAGGAAATAGTTCTAGAACAGCTGGTAATATATAAACCTGCTATAATATGGTTTACTCTGTGGATATACTGTACCTTGCTTTTTTTACAGTATATCCTCTTCCAATTTATTACATTTCTAGTTTGCTTCATATAGTCCTTGACCAACCTGATATGACTTTCTGAAAAATATCATATGGTCTTTTATTGAAGTTTTCACACTTCATTTCATGGTCTCTTTCAAGGCCATATAAAAATGTATCTTGCCTATTCATACATTTATCATCAGAAATAATTTTAAATTGCAAGCAAAAGTTTACAAAATTAATGACCTAATGTCCTTGTAAGGTTTTTGAGTTAACGTCTGAAGAATAACTGCAATTTATGGCCACTACTAAATAATGATACAAAAAATACCTGAGCCAGTGGGGTTACAGACCTCCATTAAGGTTTAGTGAACACTGTTAAAGGGAGAAACTAAAATAGCCTGTTTTACATTTGGAAATTGGAACATTCTGAACCCAAATTCAGTGGGTTTGGCATAGAAACTGTATTCCTACCCATTAAATGTTCCACTTAATTCCAAAATGGATTCCACATAATATAAATGTATTCTACAGTTATATTCTAAGTGAATTCTATGCTTCTCTAAGTCACACATTTTATGCTGCTATGGACATAATTCCATTTTCTGTTTGAAAGATTTTATAAATGTCAGTTACTCGATAAGAATAAAGACATTTCATGTCATTTTATAGCTTTCGTATCATATCCTGTGCAAAAAAAAGCCTAACATGGCTCTCGACAATCTAAACAATTTTCGCCCCATCTCCAACTTACCTTTTCTTGAAAAAATTCTAGAATGCGCTGTCACATTTCAGTTACATAACCACCTCTTGGCAAATAACCTTTTCGAACCCCTCTAATCTGGCTTCCGTCAACTTCACAGCAAAGTCACTAACAATCTTCTAATAGCTTTTGATTCTGGTTCTCTTTCTGTACTCATCCTTCTTGATCTGAGTGCTGCTTTTGACACTGTTGACCATAACATCTTACTTTCTCATCTTGAAGATTGTGTTTGGAGTTTCTGACACTGCTCTAAAATGGTTCAGGTCTTACCTCACCTATCACTGTCACTTTGTCTTTCTTAATGGGTATAGGTCTGAAATTGGTCTTGTTAAATCTACGTTTCCACTTTGTCAGCTTTTAAGATCACATGGCCTCAGCTATCATTTCTATGCTGATGGTACTCAAATATACATCCATACCAAATCTGACACTGATGTGGCTGTCTGCATTCTATCTAATTGCATCTCTGACTTAAAAACTTGGATGACTCAAAATTTCCTTCATCTTAACTATGACAAGACTGAAGTCATGTTTATTGGCACCCCCCATCATCTTTGTAAAGCCAATCCTGTAACCTTATCTGTGGATAATACAGTATTTGAGCTTCAGTCTAAATTGAAAAACTTGGGGGTGATATTTGATTCGACCCACATGTGCAGCATATTGTCAAAACATCTTTTTTCACCTCACAAATATCAGCTAGACTACGCCCTATGCTATCACTAACTGTGGCTGAAAAGCTGATCAACACATTTGTGTTTTCCCGAATTGACTACTGAAATGCTCTACACGCTGGGGTATCTAAATCTACATTGAACAAACTGCAGTATGTCCAAAATTCAGAGTTTTTGCACTGGAGTTCTTGACTGGCTTCCTGTCAAATTCCATTTGGACTTTAAAATCCTCATGCTCACCTATAAGGCTCTGCATGGCTTGGCACCTCAGTACCTGTCTGAACTATTATCGCCCTACTCCCCACCTTGCAACCTTCACTCTTCTAATTCTGGTCTCCTAACTGTCCTCCAAGCCCGTCTACACTGTATGGGTGACAGGGCCTTCTCCTGTTATGCCCCCAAGCTCTGGAACTCTCTCCCCAAGGATATCAGAGAGTCACCTTCTCTAAACTCCTTCAAATCCAGACTCAAAGCCTTCTGCTTCAGGAGAACCTTTACTTAACTGGTTCCATTCTTTACCCCTCTTCTACTACTATACTTAATACCGCCATCCGCGGTCTCCTCTGTGTATCAATTGTGTTTTATCTTGTGTATTCCTTCAAATCCAGACTCAAACCCTTCTTCTTTAGAAGAGCCTTTACTTAACTGGTTCCATTCTTTACCCCTCTTCTCCTACTATACTTAATACTGCCAACCACAGTCTCCTCTGTGTATTAATTGTGTTTTATCTTGTGTATTCTTTTTGTTTTTTGTTGTTGTCATTCTGTTAAGCACTTTGAGAAGCCACCTTTAAAGGCGCTATATAAAATTAAGTTTTTTATTATTATTTTTATTATTATTATTATTATTATTATACATTTATACTGTAAGAAGTAGATATTCTTTCCCAAGAGTTTCTAAAACACAGAAGTAAATTCACAAGGTTACATTTTATCAATCAACATTTTACCAACATGCAAAATTATCTATCGCATTGCGTATATTCATGATACACACAGGCCTTTCATTACTGGCAGCAAGATTATATTTCTTTTGGCCCTTAGCAATATAAATCTGAAAGTGGTATATACTGCATGTAAAATATTACAATATAAAAAAACAGCAATCAGTGTGCAGTATGAATTACTCTCTAATATTTTCCTGGCATTTTTAAGGCTTAGACAGTGGGGAAAGGATTATCCCATTCACTACCTGGCACAAACCTCCACTACATACACAGCATAAACTAGTAGTAAATCAGGACTTTCTGTATATCTTTTTAGTCATGGAAATTTCAGATAGGTCCCTTTTTGGAAAAAAAGGAAAAAGAGAACAGTATCACAAACAGGGCAGTTGTATTTATTGATTTATTTTTATTTTCGCTATACTGTATGTTTGACTAAGAATGTTGTTGCAATAATACATTTCATATACTGTATAAATCTTACTTAGCAGAACCTGGGAGGCACAATGTTTTTTATAACATAAGTCTACCATACTTCTCCAATTGGTACTGCAACATGAAATGTGTCATAAAACCATTTTCTAAAAACTGTACATGGTTTTGATTTGTGTATAATAGCTTCTGGCTGAAAAGAACAGAATTTGGCGTGATTTTGTCATTATTTAGAAATACTTGTTCTGACTGAATGTGGCGCAAATACAACACACATAAAGGTGTTTTACAAGAGGCTTATTCTTAAGAAACTTGAAAACAAAGACCTTTGCAATGGAAAGTTGTTGGCAGGATTTCTGAGAGAAAGCAAGGCCATGAGAGAGATAAGAGAACAAGTAACAGGCAAGAGAGGTAACATCTGGATCCTGCTGCTTGCAAACTAGTCTTTGGATACAAAACACAAAATCTGGGTTTCTTTAATAATTGTTGCATATTCTTGCTAAATAGAACTACATCTCTACAAGACCGGATAGATCACCACACCACATGGATGAAATTTTTCAGTTTTTGATATGCTGTATTGTGACGTTAGGAGCCAGAGTATGCTATTTGCACAAAGGATTGGGTGATATGGAACAAACTACCTAACTGTTTTGCAGACGCTGATGCCCTGTCTTATTTTAAGAAAAGGTTGTGTTAGATGGACAGAAAGCCCTTCTCTCAATAGTAACCTATCTTATTTTCTCATGATAATGTATATCCTGTTCCTTATTTTTAACTGAACAATATCATCATCTGAGCATTCTGTAACCCATTACATGATTAATAAACAATGTTTAGTGAACAATGAGAAACATTTTAAGGTTGCCACAAATACTTACTTGTGTAGTATCTCTGAATTATCTTCCTCCTCACTGGCCTTGCTTGTTTTCATTGTTTTTCAACCCAGGGCTAAATAACAATGAGTTTGTTTGACAGCAGAGACGCACAGTCAACAGCTAGATAATGCAATTTTACGTTTTAATGACTAATATTGTATCCTAATTACATGGTGTAAAACAACTAAAGATCTTTTTTCTGAAATGTTATCACTAAAGGGCATTAACATGTCTCTGTTGTAAGTCTGTGAGTCACACTTGTAGGTCACTTTACGATTTCAGTCCCTTAGAGACATTGGGCATGGTCCACAAGTTTCCTGTCTCCCTTTGTTCCAGTTTTTCTGGATATGTTCAACAAATAAAAAACAAATAAATGTTCAAAATCCATGTAAAATTGCAATTCAATTTTTCCTTGAAATGCAAGCTACAAACCATTAAAAATATATATCATGAATATGAATCCAATATCCAGAGGAATGCAAAAAGCCACCACCTTTCATATGTATTATTACATTTTTTTTATTGCTTCCCTCCCCCCTTCCTTAAATCTGAAATACTATGGAAAAATATTAGCACTAACACCATCACCGGTACTTTCAGTATTGGTTGAATTGAAACCTGAGCTTGTCGGCTAGTCTGCTAAGGCTTCCTGTGTTCTAAGCCTAGTGGGTGGAAAAGGCATGGTCTTGTGGCAGGGAAGGCCTGGGTATGATACTGTCTTGGGATACAAACTGTGTGAAGTTTGTATGTGTGTGTCTGTGTGTTCCTTGTGATTGACTGGTGTCCTATACAGGGTGTAATAATAATAAGAATAAGAATAATAAGAAGAATAAGAATAAGAATAAGAATAATAATTGCTTACACTTATATAACTCTTTTCTGGACACTCCACTCAAAGCGCTTTACAGATAATGGCGACTCCCCTCCACCACCACCAATGTGCAGCATCCACCTGGATGATGCGACGGCAGCCATAGTGCGCCAGAACACTCACCACACATCAGCTATCAGTGGGAAGGAGAGCAGAGTAATGAAGCAAATTCATA